TCTCGAATTGAGTGTATTTTTCATTTTTTGGTAGGTGGCTTCATTTTATGCTTTAATTTTTTTTGCATATATATCAATATATTGATAGAAATGAACGTGTGAATCCGTGTGGCTTATATATTTAATATGCAGTGCATGGATTCTTTCATGACAAAATATGTTTGTTGATTTGCAATCTACCTTGGCCATATTTACGTTTTTTTTATTTTTGTTTACTTACGTGCACTTCCCAATTTAATTAAGCACAAAACTAAAGAAAATAGTTGGATGTGATGCAGCATCTTTAAAATATTCTCACTGGAGCATTCAGTTCAACTTCGTTTCAATGACTGAATTAAATTGCCGACGGAATATACCAAAATGAAAGGTGTGAGGCGATTTTTTTTATTTTCGTGATTATTACGACATTTAATCTATCGAAATTTCTTTTACGTATATTTGTCTTCTTACACAGTATTGGTCTTTTGATTCAGTTTATTTTCATGATAAACAGAGTGATGTCACTTAATATCATGGGAAAATCCCGGTCGAAATGTTGTAAACAGATTTCAATAATCAATGTTACCAAAAAAAAGTAGCGCAACAAGTCAAAAAGTTTAATCATCGTTGAAATACGTCCCTGATAAACTAACAGCCGAAAAAATCGAGGAAATACTGTATTCTCTCGTATTCAAGCAATTTTTAATTTATGGTGGAAAAATCATTTTCTTTTTCATTTCTCTTTCTCTTCTATTACATTTCTATAGATTAAAATATAAACTAAAGGCTCATTCCATTTTGTATTGAAAATTCTGTAAAAAAAGACAAAAGGTTGTGGTGTACGCTTGAAGTGGGATAAAGTTAGTTTGAAGGTGGAAAATCAATTCATTTCTTCCTTGCATGATTTCGAGCATTCGTCCCCTTCACAAATGTCACAAGAGCTAATGAATGGAATTTCATAGAATTCTCGTGCGCTTCGTGCTGTAACGAAGAGGAAAGAAAGAAAGATAACAAAATTAATTTTTGATTCAAAACAGAAATGAATTCAAAGGCTTGATTGGTGTACATACAGCTGTCATAGTAATCGTAGATTTTCACTGGCACCGGTTTATTTTCGGCCACTTTATGCGAACGATATCCTTGAATTTTCAGGCAAATTTCTTCGTTTGACAACATTTGATCGAAATAAACATGTGCCACAGTTTCACCGTTTGTTGTTTCAACCAGTTTGACGTTTGACTTTTTCAGAAGTTCATTCAATTTTTCTTTATCAATGAGAAAACCGCTTGGCATTCCAACTTCAACGATCACCATATTCGAATGATTTTCATCGCCGCTCTTTGGATTAAATCTGAAAGTTGTTTTCTTGGTATCATCAAAAGTGATTCATTTCATTTAGAAAAACATACAAACCTTGAGCAAATCTCAACATTCAAGTGACCCGCAGTGGTTTCAATCACTTTTGGTTTCAATGTGAACATTTCATAAACATCGCTTTGATTTAGATTGTATCGATAGGAAAGTTGGAATAAAGCGAATCCGCGGCCAGAAGCAGAAAGTTGAACCGATTCTGTGTTCGATGGCAAATCAATGGTTTGCAAAACCAATCCGTTTTCATTATTAACGGTAAGTATACGGTCTTCAGAACGATTGTCACCATGGATTCTGAGCTCCACATTATTAGCCTTGCTTGATATTAATCGACTGTATGCCGCCAATGATTCTAATCCAATAACCGTGTCTTGTGTTCCAGTGAATCCTCCACGATCATTTCGCTTATTCAATAGCCATCTGAAGTAAGGGAGGCCTTCGACATATCGTTTGCCTTCAATGAGTGCAAGCAATCCGTACGAAGTGATTTCAACGTCGATTGTATCCGATGCACGTTCATTTGGTTTCGAATTAGTCCACCATTTCATTTGATCTCCATTGAAATTTAAAAAATAAATTGAAAAATGACCATACTCAATACTTTTAAGTGAAATTTCTACCTTTGGCAATTGATTTGTCAATTAAGACTTGCAATGCTTCTTCCTTCATGGAATGATTGGCCAATTGGAGTGCATATACAGCGATTGCTAAAGCATATTGATCAGCGGTGTCTTTAAGATTTTGTACGATATTGCTAATAGCTTTATTGACGACTTCTTCATATTTCCAGTCCTTTGATTGCTGCAAACCAGAGCAAAGCCAATATAAATATGGTTATGATTGATTTGAAATAATTTTATGAAACCGACCTTATTTTTCAAGAAAGCAATTGTGGTGTATGCGGTTAAAGCAATTCCTTTGCTCGCTCCACCTTGCATCGCCTTATCATATACTCGTCCAACTTCGGGAAAGCTGCCGTCAGCCGCTTGACCCCTACTTAGGAATTCAAGAGCCTTGTCAATTACATCACTCTCGATATCAATGTACTCTTCGGCTTGTTTGAATGATTTTGCAACGAATGCCGTTAACCATGTACTTCCGCTGTTATCACTTTTGCCAAATACGCTGTACGAACCGTCGCTGTGACGATAAGTCAACTCGCGTTGATATCCAGTCAAGAGATATTTAATGGCTGTCTCTTTAATTGTCGCATCGAGATTTCCAACCGCTTTTAAATAATCTAAAACAACTATGTTTGGAACGAATTTCAGCATATTTTGCTCTCCGCAGCCAGTTGGCAATCGAATGAGTTGATGCAAATTTTGTATTGTTCCTCCGAGTAAATCACCAATTGCGTTCACATTGATCTTCAACGAATCGGGCACAGCATTGTCGGGAACATCAACCATTTGAGTCGTTTCAAATTTATCGGATTCACGCAAATCAATGAACATTGCTTTGTTGATGAATTGTGGAACACCTTCTGGATCAACCTGTAAGATTCGGATAACAGCATCGCCAGCAACAGCAGAAGTGGCTGTCACTTTCAATGGAATTTGTCCAATGGAAGTGAATCGGACGAGGAATGTTTGTGTTACACCCGAATCAGAGTCAACGGACACCTGACGCTTGCGAGACAATTGATCGCCTTCAATATCATCGATAAATACAAATTCACCATTTTCATTATGAACAACCAATTCAGCAGTAATATCCGTGTTCAAATAGTTGAATAAGACCACCGGCACCGCAACCACTTCGCCACGTTTCACGGAATACGGAAGATTCAAAGATACGAAAAATGGCTGGAATACATTCAATGTCTTTGGACTTTTAGTCAAACCCAAACCAAATTGCGGGCTAACTGAGAAAGCACTGATCACCCATGACGTGATTGTGTCTGGTACTTTTTTGCTGAGTGTTAATGTTCCATTTGGATTGATCATGTCAATATCTTCCCACAGCCATGTTTCCGGGAATTCAGTTCGAATTCTTGTTGGTTCAACTGGAGCATGTGACGTTTCTTCAAATTTGTCTACTACTTTACTATACGAACTATACGATGGCATAGTAGGTAACGAAGATTGTGCGAAATTATATGCATTGAATGGATATGAACTGGCTGCAGAATGAGGATAACTTGGAGAACTTTGTGATCTAACGCTTGATATTAATGCAGAATGTCCAAATGCAGAATCCCTAAATGCAGGATTTCTAGGCGTATGGTTTATTGGAAACCACGGTCTATAGTTACATAGACGACGGTTAAAAGGGTCGTATTCAAAAGGATTACAATTTCGATCGTATGGTAAAACGTAAGTTGGGGGTTTGTATATTTCTTGTTTTGCATTGGTGAATAAAATCAAATTGGTATGTTCAAATGGTCGGAAGTATTCGTTTAAATACTTTGGTGATTTAACATTCCATGGTCCAGTTTTCGTCGGATGGAGATTCTTTTGAAAACTGATAATTTCGTCGAATGCATCTTGTTTCGTTAAACCAAAGTTTTTCTTTAGCAGCAATACGCTTTGATCAACTCCAACTAAACCAACGTACGATTCTGCATTAGTACTAACATCGATGCTTACATTTGTGCTTGGTTGCGTTTCGGTGGTTGATAATTTCAATTTAACGAAATTATTTAAATCGTCGTCAATTGAAATTTCATTTTTGGTAGCAATAATGTCACTATTTTCGACCCGATAAACAATCAGCGTTGCTTTTGGTACAAGATCAAAGGTCGCCTTGAATTTGATTACGTGATCTGTGCGATTTGGAACAACAACATTTTCGGCATAAATCAGTCGACCGTTGCCAATCACTTGATATGTAAAATGTTGAAGTAAACGTTTTGATTTCACTTCAACAACAATATTTTCATTTAATTTCGGACTGGAAGAAGAAAACATTCGCTTTAATACTTTTATTTTCAGATAATTAGTGTCGCTTTAATATTTTACCTCTTAGTCAATACTTTTGTTTCCAGTTCCTTAACGGTCGCTGGATTGAATCTTCCCAAATCTAATTCTTCATCCATGTATTTAACCTAAATTTAATGAAACAATATCAATCATATATGGTTCGCCCTTTGAATATTCAAAATTGATTCTTACTTTCAGGCCGAAACTCATTCCATTTGAAAGTGTTGGTATTTCAATATTGACGGCGGTGGTACTTTGATTCAATTCAAATGTATAATATGTTGGTGGATTGGAAATGGTGACATAAAACCAAGGATTTTTTTGAATTTTGATCGTTTTAGTGGCTTCATTCAAAAGAATTGGTGAATTATCATGATGACTAACACGTATCTGTGAATTTAAAAAAAAAAAACAAACACATTTTTAGTAAAGAAATTGTAAAAAAACCTTTTTTTGAATCTAAACTTACTGAGAACTTAATTGGTGTTCCCGGTGTGAATTCATGACGTAAATCCAATGCTTCAATTTTGTAGCGCGTCTGATGTAGCGTAATTATTTTCGATGTACTTTGATTGAGACCGGTTAGTTCTTCAATGACTCTTGCTTTCAATTCGAAACTCTTTTTACTTTCAGTTTTTGTGAACATTTCTTTTAAATCATTTTCCACATCAAACTCAACTGTTCCTTTACCATCAATAGGAATGGTTTTTATGATTTCGTTTCGTCGTTTCATTGCTGCATTTTGTGAGGTTGAACTAAGTGATACTGTGGCTTCACCTTTCACAAATTTTCCATAAGTGTATTTTGAGCGAACGATTGCCCGAATTTTGTCATTTTTGGCTGAAAATTCCGACGGCGAATCAATGATGACATCGAATAATGGTAAAACATATTCGGCGACTTCGATTTCTCTCGCCTTTTTCTCTGTTCCAATTCGCGCTTCAAATTTCCAGTTGCCCAATATTGGCGATTCGGACAACATAACTTCACTGGTGAATACGCCTTTGTTTAAAGTCACATTGAGCCATTGTTTGATGCGATTCTTCTCTGGATCGGTAAAATAGATGTCGAGCGAGCTATCTAATTGCAACGTGATCGGCTTCAATTCATAATCGAGCACCAAGACACGGAATTTTATTGTTTCACTTGGTTTGTAAATGGCTTTATCAGTTTGAATGAATATTGATACATCCTTCGATTCAATTTTTAATTCCGCCTCGTTTCGGAAAATAATTCCCGTCAGGCCTTCTGCCACGAATTTATAACCTTTTGATGCATTTAAATTGTCGATATACAATGCAACTAGTTCGGTCTTATTTGATGTGATTGTGATATTTCTTTCATTTTTATAGTTCAATCCATCTTCTATGCTCAGGCGAATAGTGACCGGTTCAATATCGTCATGGAGTGTTAACGAAACTTTATAAGAATGATGTGGCCGAATGTGTTGAGGTGCCACAATTGTATACAAACTATTTAACAATAATATAAAGATAATAAATAAATCAAGAAGGAAATAAAATAAGGTTTTCAATATCATTATAGCCTAGATTACAACTTAAGCAAAGTAAATTCACGGAATTTTCATATTTTGATATACGTTAGTAAAGATCTACAGGTATTTTTTCAATTGACAAACAAAAACTTGAAAATTCATTTATAATTAATTTCATGCATTTGATAGGGGCTTTTTAATGCGAAAGCAAACAACATGATTTACAGTGAAAGTATGTAGTTGAAAATTTCAATAGTATTTCACCTTGAAATATAAAAAAATTGTTGTTTGTCTTTCTTTTCATTATCTCAACAGCCTCAGACTGCAAACTATCAAAATCACAACCAAATTTAATTTTAATCAGTTTCAAAAATATTGTGCAAATAATACTAAGGGAAGATACAAACGATTAAACCGTGATTCTACTAATATAACGTATTATAAACTATTTCACGAATCCATCATTGTCAAACATAAATCCTGAATTTAACCTATTTTTGTTATTCCATGCAGTGGACTGCAACATGTTTAGTTAATACAGCTACTAAACTTTCTATTTCACTGCAATCTTCCTAAAGTCTAATGATATTTTTGTTCCTCCCAGAAAATAAAACCATAGTGTACTCACCGCACACAACTGGCGAAGCCAACCAATGTAAACGATGCAACAATAAAAATCACGAGCGGCGAAATCCTCTGCATTTTATTTCACAATTTCGTTTATAAAAAACATTTATATATATTTTTCAATGAATTTGTAACTTTTCGGCTAAAAAAGTCAGATCCAAACAAATTGTGATGTGTACTACTTGATGTACTAATTTCGATTGAATTTAAATGTTCCGGAGTATCCCCTTTATAAAGAAATACACTACTCGATGTATAAACAAGTTGAATTTAAATTATCAATGAATATTTCTTATCTCTCTGGGGTCCACGGACAAATTAAGCAATTTTAATCAAAATTATATGATTTGAACTCGAACCATATCGACTTTCGTTTGAAATTTCATGAAAATATACAGATTTCTGTTGTACTAGAGCCACTTTTTTAGAGCAAGGTCGATCGAGGCTTGAGTTATAACATTTTTTTTTAAAAAAACCTCATTTCCAAGGAAAATCATTTTCCTGCATGAATTTTCCAAAACGAAATATATTGATCAGACATTATATTGAGATATTTTCAGCCAGATGAATCAGCTCAGCCAGATATCGTCAGGAGCTGAAATTGAGTGGAAACACTAGAAGTGATTGTTAATTACACTTACATTGTTATAATCACTATAACAATCACTTTTATTGTTTTCACTCCATTTCAGCTCCTGACGATATCTGGCTGAGCTGATTCATCTGGCTGAAAATATCTCTTTATAATATCTGATATTGATTATTATAGAGATTCATCTAGTTTCAGTTGTAAGTTTTTATGCTAAGCTGTTTCGATTTTTAACACACCATTTTCTTTAAATTTGAAATAATGTTGAAACATTTTCGGATAAAAAAGATCGAGCAATATAGGTGTCATCTTTAAAAAAGCCGGTTTTTCGATTGAAGAATCGTTTTAGCATCCTTTAACAAATAATACAAATTATATATGCTGATACATCAAGCAAAAGTTCAGTATCATTTTATTATAGACCACTATCACCAAAAAGAAATCTCTGACCTTTTTCAATGAACCATCATTACTTCCAAGTAAATTGGCCGAGTATTCACTTGAGTTTTTTTTTCTACAGAAAATGACAAACGTAATTCAAAAAATAAATATTGCAAGAAAATTTCAAACTAAATTAATTGATTTATTTTCGAATGTTTGATAGGTAAAAAATAAATTGACATATATAATAATTTTTAGTGATTAAATTCTAAGGAACAATCGAAGAAGAAACTTTTTGGTGAAAAAGTCAAGTTATTAAATTTCATGGAGTGAGTCATTGTTATCGCTACAGATGTACCGCTTGTCAAACCTCGCTATAGATTATGTTTTTATTATTTATTGTCGCGTTTGATGTTGTTTAGATTTATATTATTGATACGAACTCAATTACGGAGTCTTATACAATAATTAAGTGCTTCGGTGTATTTTTTTTGTGTAGCATATGGAATTTCTCACGAATTAGATAGCATGTTGCTTGTTTTAATTTTACTTATGTGTTTGAAGGTTATTTCCAAGCAAAAAGAAAAAGAAAACGTGGACAGAAATCACTCCTGAATGTATAAAACTTTGTCATTCTAGTAAAAATAACGTTTCAAACATAGAGCGTTAGATGAACGTTAACAAATCCATTCATCCCATGATAACAAATGATCCGCATTTTTTTTTCTTCTGACAATTGCATGATTTGTTGCCGTGCACTGTTAAACGTACACGCATGCATAAATAACAACTACTGACTTTTTGACTACTTTAAATGTGATTAATAAGTTGAAGTTTTTTGTTGTAATATGTAATTGTATGTGTAAGTGTATACTTTAATACATCATTTATGAATAAAAACACAAAATATGTTTGTTTCAGTTTTTAGTATTTATTGTGTAGTTTTTTTTTATTGTCAATATGTTTTTTTACGTCTTAACGCCATAAGCTTAACATTTATTTTATATAATGTTGACTATTCGTTTAGCTCTAAAAGTTAACCATTTTGTTTTTACGATAAATAAGTTCGATTCCGAATTGTCTATGTACAAAAAATTACACTTAAATGTAATGTCACTGGGAGGAGTGGTGGATCGTTTAGATAATTTTCGGGAACGAAAGTTATGGGAAGGGTAGGTTTAAAAGAATGATTCAATTATGAGGATTGAGGGGCGGGGGGATTCTTGTAATTGGAGTTGGGGTGAAATACATAAAAGGAAGATAAACCCGAATTAAAAAAAGACAGATTCAGTTGCAATTTTTACCAATTTGTTTTTGCTTGCAAATATTATATCGAATTATTATTTTCGCTTTGTTTTTAATTTAATTTAATTTAATTTCTACCTAATTTAAGTGTTGACGTTAAGAAACAATTCCAATGACTACGATCATATTTAAATTACATGGACTTGTAATGTGCTCGATGTGCTTGGATTCGTTTCAAATTCTATTTTTGTGCTTTTTTTTCGCTTGTCTTTGAATTAAATTAAACTCACTATATGTTAAACACATTGACATACGATTTAATTTATATAATATATTATAGTTGCGGATTGAACCGCATGACTTGGCGCAAAGATATTGATCTGCATTTACATCGACAAATGTTGGAATTACAATGAATTTTGAAATGAACGTTCGAAATTTTGCAATTCCAAACACATTGCGAAGGATTATGCGATACAATCCCTTTGCATTACTCGTACATATTTTTTGTTTTTTTTTTCGACAACCAAAAATAATCGATTCTTTTGATGCCAAAAAAAAAAATTTTTTTTTTTTGACAAATCATTGTTAGACATTTTTTTTATATTGTGTGTACTTTTTTGTGTGTGAACGTATATTTTTTCTCTCTCTTGTTTCATTTAATTTACTACATTTTTAGAGGCAATATTTCTTATGGTTCTTTGTTTTATATTGGAACATCACATTTATACATTTTTCATGTCGACATTTTCTACGGATTTTAAGAGAAAATTTGCACGCATCTTTCATGACACATCGCATTCAAAATGTGATGATGAGATTGGCGCGCATTTGCGGGTATTTCTTATTGAAAATCCCATTCGATTTTTTTAATTTTAAATAGTATTAACTACTATGCGAAAAGGCTGTATTGGTATATGGTCCGCTATAAATTGAGCTTCCGGAGTTTGACACCGTTTTGCTGCGTCGTCGTGCCATTATGCATAAAACAGCAGCCACAACGCACAACATCAAAACGAGACCAGCTATTGAAATAGCAATGGCAAAACTCTTCTGAGATATACAAAGCGCATCTTCCGGCCTCTGAAATTTGGATAAAAGAGATGCAACATTAGTCAAATGATTTTTTTTTAAAGAAGGAAGGAAATGTTTTTAAGGAAGTTTATGTCACCTTTTCGGCAAATACGCTGTCATCGGTGTCTTCAACAATTTCAGCATTTTCATTCACATAAAGACCAGAATACACTTCAATAATCGATGGATGACTATCGTCAAAGGTATTTTCATTTGATTTTGTGTCACGTTTTGTACGCTTTCTCAGCGAACAATCTGGAGCCTAGAAATTTAAAAAAAATTATTTATTAGAAAACTAGATTTAAAAAAAACACTTGAATGTAACACAAAAATAATAATCGCTCACCTGTTTACATTCAGGATCTTCGAGTGGACACAATCGAATATTGCATTCGTAGTAAACGGATGCAGTGTATGGGAATTTGTGAGCTGGAAATGCAACTGATGCTTCAGTTCGATCATCGGAATATTCGAATTGACCCATAATCTCACCGTCCAATGGACATCTAAAGTGTTTGATAACAGTGAAAATTCACAAATTTAAAGTATTAGCTAACTTTTTTTAAAATTATTTCAGTCAGTTTTTTGTTCGATCGCCAAGATTGCCCTTTACATTTGAACGTTATGAAGAACTTTTTTTAAAGAAAAACTTATAAATCTTACCCTTGTTGAACAAGATTTTGTTCTCCCCAACCAAGTCCATCGCGTACATTACAATCCATGATGTGCATACCGTACACATTTTGTTTGTCAATGTAAATTTTCAATGTGAGTGGATCGCCAATTTTCACATTTTCAGCAATATTTTTACCCGAATAGATTTTCATATGGCATCCGGGCATTGGAATTTCGTTCGTTGTATCGTGTGTTCCAAGTGAACGGCCATGCTCACGTCGATCCACAGTGACGGTGGTGATATTTTTTGCATCGTCATCGGCAATTAATGCCTCGGCCAAATCGTCGTTCGTACCATTTTTCGTTGCAGCAGCCGCTTCACGGCTCTTATATCTACATCGTACGTGATATCCGCGACCCAGGTCAGTCACCAATTTCAAATGTGGTTGCAAAACAATTGTATTGAAAAACTCAATACCATTGTCGTCCTAAATGGTTCGAGAAAAAGAAATCATGATTTGATGATTTAAATTTAACAAAAAAAAAAAAAAAACAAACGAAAACATGCGAACATCCAAAATGTATGCCTTGTTCAATTGCTATTGAAAATGTTCTAAATAATGTTAAGAGAATCGCTTCTGGCAACTAATAAAACAAACAATAGACATTTCACATCGTAACGGTTAACTAATTTAACAGATATATACAAAACATACAATTATACCGCAAATCATTCTCAAAAAAGTGCTTTTAATGCAAAGAAGAGGAAAAAAGTGATTGAGAAAGATGTTTGTTTGCGTCTCCCACAATATTCGAATCGACACAATCTTTTAGATATGTTCTCTCATTTTTGAGTGAGTGTGTGTCGGTATTGTTTGGTTTAATTATGATTAATTGCTGTGACTGAGGCGCGTTGTTTCGTTTACTTTTGTGATTCAGTCTCTGATCTCTCATCGTTTTTTTCATTTTTTTTTTTTTTTTGAAAATGAGTGAGTGCAAAGCGCGGGCGCGCTCAATCGATTACGATGAATTCATGCACGTATCTAACGCATCTAACGCTACTTTTTTCCCTTGCCACATGAAATTACACAATGAAAAAAACATGATTAATTTGAAATTAGAATTTCGCATTTTGCCACCGGTCCGACTTCTATATGGTGTTCGAATTGAATTCTTTTTTTTTCTTTGCCCAATTTAAATGCTAATCATTGAAGGTTAATTAACACACCAAACAACGTATTCAAAAATCGTTCTTTTGGTCGACAAAAGAGCGCAAAATGCCGCTGTTTACAACCGCCCAATTATGATTACATCATATTTCTTTTTCTATTAACAGTAATATGCGTTTTTAATGTCCGTCGAAAATGGTTTTAACACACACACATCATTGTAATTGCCTATTCTCGACCCCGACTAATGGTCAAGCGGATTCTTCCATATTGGGCAATTAAAGTCAAGCCAAAAGATTCGTAATACATGAATAGAATAAAATCCTTTGTTAAAAAGCCAACACATTCACTATTGACAATGTGTCAACTTTACAATAATCGTGCCGTTTGTCGCCTTCACCGTACATACTGATCTTTGAAAAATCATTTATTATGTTTTACTCATCACATACACCGTGTTTCATTGGCATTGCAATCGATTATTTTTTTAGTACGACAAGTGCACAGCACTTTACTAACAAGTACACGCCGTCATAGCGATATATCACGCTTCAGGAAATTTGCATACACTTCAAGTAATTCACTTGATTCTCTTACATTTACATATACAATATTTCAACGATCATTAAGTTCGATGCCAATGTATTTGGATTATCATCAACTTCAATGGAATTGATTCAAATTCATGATTGCAAAAAAAAACGAGTGAAACTGCCAAGTAATAAATAATTACTATCAGTTTGATGTCACTAATTGATTTTGTCTATTGAAGACATACAAAAACGCATCGATACAAATGCCCGAACATACAATTCATTGTGGCGCAGCATTTAGAGTTTGAACGATTCAAATTGATAGACACTCAAATCATTTCCTCCAATCAATTAAATCTAATGAAATGTCTAAATGCGCACTTTGACCTTTACCTGTCATTACATTTACCGAAACAGTGATTTCATGCATACGAGTGTGTGTGTGTGTGTGTTTGCTTTTGTTTGACATTGAATCCACAAAAAACAAAGCAAAAAAAAAAATGCGGATCGTGATCACAGCTTCAGATCGTTTAAATTGTTTTGAGAGATACAATGTAAATGAGTCACAAACGAGGGAAAAACAAACCAAAGAATGTTTGCATCGTTCAGAACGCTCATCGCTGGTTAAAATCTTTTGTATATTTTTAGCACGGCGCATTCGTTTAATTCATTATGAAAATCGTTGATGATATACGTATAATTCAATTTTAAGATATGATTAACTGTGATTTATTGTGATGAAAGTTCCTTGTGCTGTGCAAAATACTTACACTGCCGTTGAATTACACACAATAAATGCCAATTGTTTATGGTATTTTCCAAATTTTATAAATTGTTTTTGATTAATCGGACGAATAGTGTTTTCCAACAAAAATGTGTGTTGGAAGAGTGCGTATTTTTGTGAAAATAGCACAATCGAGTATTTCATATACAATATTGTACATGAAGCTTATGACTGTTTCAACCAGCAATTTCTGACTGCCAACAATTTATTGTTTTTTTTGCTCATCTCAATTTGGCCAATTATATTTCGATTATGTTCTACTCAGCGCGGAATCTTTAAATTTCATGTCTTTGTGATGTGTGTGTGAATCTCACACTTGAAATTGATCAAGTGTTCAATGAAAGCGTGCCTGATCATACGCACAGTCGCACACAGATCAGAGGGTTGTGCAAAATGTCGGCTAATTAGCTAGTGATAGATTCTTCACCTGGCCACTTAACGAATTTGAATTATATGTGTGCGTCATTCTTTTTTTGAGCAAAACAACAAAAACATATTTCAATATAGTTTTTTTTTCTATAGAATTCTTCGTTTGTTTTTTGTTTTCTGTGAGAAAAGAGCCTTGCTACTACCAGTTTTGTTTCTCTCAATGAATTTGCGATATGAAATCAAAACCTTCGACATTTTTATTCACAGATTTTTTTCGATTTCATTGTCAAAATGAAGCAGCGGCAACAGTAGCACTTCATTCATTGTTTTCATTCAATATTTCGTCGTTGTTACTGTTGTTTTGTCTACAATGTTTTTTTTTTGTTCTCTCTTTTATTATTAAATGAGAAGAAGAAGAAAGAGCGTTGCCAATTCATTTATTGCAATCACATTGAACGACAAGTAAAATGGATTTTAAACAATTTTATTATTTCTTCTCGTTTGGCTTTCATTCGCCGTCCAATTGATCACATGCTGCGATAATTGAAATGAATCACCCTTTTTTTTTGGTGGCGAACCAAAGAAACATCGAATCTCAAATATGGCAAAATGATTTTGTATTCAACGCAATTAACATTTGTGCGGGAATAAAAAAAAAGAGCTGAAATAATGGCAGAAAAACAAACGTGAAAATTGGACTCAATGATGATCATCTTTCATTTCTTCTTCGCCATTGAATTTCGGTTTTAATTGTAATTTCTTATATTTGATTGAACAATAAAAAAATAACTTGCGCTTTCTTTCCGACATCAAATTGACTTTCGTTTATTTTCCAGATGACTATCAACGAGAACAAATCATTTTCGCCCAGGTTTTTTTTTCAAACAAATTAATTTGTTGTTATTTTTATTTGTAGAAAATATACAGAGTATGATTTTTTTCATATCTTTTGTATAGCGAGTGGTTTTTCTTTGTTGCTGTTCACAATCGATGATTGTGAAATGTACATTTCGATGACTTGTGTTGATGCCAAATTATTTTTCAAATTATTTTATGAAAAAAATTGTATTAGAAATGATGTGATAAACAATATGGTTTTGAGCATTCATTTGTAAGCGTTCTTTCATTCAATTTCAATTGGTTTTTCACATTGTGTCGAATTCGATTTGTGTTCCAGGAAACAGAAATGTTTCTCTGTGTATGGTTTTACAATTTGGTTCTTTTGGTTCTACTGTTTCACACTTTAAAGTGTGTTATGCGTTGTGTTTGCTATAAAAGGTGTATGAATATATGACGGAGTGCGCATACGATTCATTCTTTATGGTCTTGTCGTTTTGGTAATGTTGATTACTTTCGGTGATATGAAACGGAAACGAATCGGAGAAGAGGCACAAGAACAACAAAAATGCGATGGTGGTATAGGCATAGACCGTGGCATGACATGCACCGAAACATCAAATTCTCTGTATAAATGTGATGGGTATTTTTTTCTTCTTCTTCTTCTTTGTAGTGTGATGGGGCTTGCGTAATGAAATTCGAAAAAGCACACATATAATCCAAATGCTTATTTATCGTATATTTATCGTTCGATAATGACATCATCGTGATTTGTTTTATTTTGTTTTCTTTGATTTCATTCTGTGCGTCTTTGTATCGCAACATGCTCACACATACACATGCATCTATAAGTTGTCGCAATGAGTTAAAAAAAGACGACGACTGACATTACAGATTGTTGACTTTTCTACGTACAATTTATGTTTTTTTCTCTGTTTTTACTTCCATTCGTACTTGTATTATTCCATTGTATTCTAAACCGTTTGATTTTTCAAGTGTCGAGCATTTTCCATTGAATACAAAATTGCGATCGCATTTGTTGCTTTTCCAAAGTCCGTCTATTTGTATTAGAATACTATGAAGTGATTTTAATTTAAGTTTTTTTTGCGCAATTCTATGTGTTTTTCTTCGGCAAATTAAACAACAAAAATGAATTAATTCAAACATAAATTACCGTCTCGGTGCCAATCATTCTGTGATTTTCTGACCTTTTGGGAGGTGGATAATTAATTTGGTTTAAGCGAGAAAAAACATCAATTGTAAATGCGATTCTAATACATTGTGGTAATTGTGTGCGTGTATGCGATGTTGATTGAACCGTTTCTTCCGTCAAATTGAACACGCTGGGTGTTATTTTTGTTTCGTCTTCGTCCATTACCATTGTTTAACAATTCTAAGAATTAGTATTATTAGCAAAGGTTATATACACTCGAGACGAAGAGAAGAATGATCACATACTGACCATTGATCATTTGATCATAGGGTTCGCAGTATCTTTGATTCTAACGTTCGGTTCAACAGCCTACGCATACACAAACATACACACCAATTGCGCCTACGCAATCACTAATGCTGTTTTGTATGGTCATATGTTGTGTTTGTGTACTTATGTTTGATTCGGTGTTATTACACGCCGAATAAAAACCAACAATCTAATGCTAAAAAAACCAATTCTTTTCATGTTTCACACAAATTCCGTTCATTCTCTTTCTTATGCCGTCTTAAATGACAGCGAAATGCTCGGTCTCTAATCTCTTTTTTATCGCAATTGGTAGAATTCAGGCTATAAACCATTTTACAGTGGTTGTTGATGTTTTATTATAGATTTCAATTGAAAACTTATGGTTGGTGCAAAATTTATCAAGGCTGACTTGATTGGGAAGAGATAGAGAGAGAGAGAAAAATCGAACTGAAATGAAATTGAAATTAATACGACGCATGCCAAAAGAAATATTATCGGCGATTGTTATGAGTGCGAAACGGAGCGAGAGACATGATATCTAAAAGACTACCATTTGATCATTTATTAAGGTTCGATCGATGGTATTTTGTCACCTACGTTACTACTGTAGTTGACTCACAATGGCCACACCTCCCACAACAAATCACACAGACAACCACACACACACAGGCATGATGTACATCGAATAAAATGGCCTAAAGCATATAATCGCAAAAACCATTTTTTCTTTACTTTGAATCAAAGTCTTCAAAAATTTGCATATAAAAGCCCATTATGTCAAAAGAGTGCTTGAAATGCTTGACGTTGTCACATTGAAGACTCGTCAAAGAAAAAAAGATAAAAATCATTTCCCGCGCCATAACAAAAAAAAAAATTCTAAATCGCACAGAACAAGATCATGTCATTTTTCATTACGATTTCATTTTCAATTTAAAATTCGCTTTTTAAAGCAGCGAAAAAAATATATGTAAAACAAGAATTCACAAAAAAGGCATGTTTTCCACCAGCAAAATGTGTCTTAAAGTTAAAAGGTCTTAATATCGCAATTGTGTTTGGTTCAATGTTATAATTTAACATGTTTTCCATTGTTGAATTCGGACAGCAGCGGAAAGCGAAAAGCCATTGTTACGCGAACGCACAATATTGTACATTTATTCCAAGCTCGGTCTCTCACTCTTGATTTCTCACTTGAAAAAATTGCGTCATTTATATATTTTTTTTTGTTTCGTTGTTATTTAATTGTTTTCGCCAGCAAAATTTGGAATGAAACGAGCGAGAGTGTGTGTGTGTGCACAAGTGAAAAAGGTCAACGGATTTTAATTTGATGTTCAATTTCGATGTATATAATATTTCTTTGATTCTTTCTCTTCACGATGTCTCGGGACGTCTCTGAATCACGGGAATTTTTTTTCATTCAAAGACAAAAATTGTTGTGCGCCTCTTCATCGTTGACATATTTGGCATAAAAAAAATGTGTAATGATCGGCTCTTCTCCATCCAACTCGATTACACTCGTGACGGGACGACCAACCACTAAAAACTTTGCCAAATCGTTTGATGAAATTATGTGATTTTTTGGACAAAAAAAAATTCGAGCCAAAAATACGAACATCTTATGACATCTGCTATAGCTAATGAGCTTAGTGAACGATGCAAATGGCTTCAAGGTCAACAACCATCATACATTTTGGACACAAGTATTTCATAATATGTGCTCATCATCGAAATGATCGTTTTAATAAATTGAAAAACATTTGCCGAAAACCGCGAATTTTTGTTTTGTGTATTTCACTGTAACCATTTGAATGTGCAATGCTTTTGGGTGTATAATGGTGGGTGTGATGTCGTGGTTTTACTTTAAAAAGGCACATTAAATTTTTATCCAAGAAGCAACGAAATCGACAGCTTTTTTCGCGATCTCTTTGTTTCGTTTCTCACTCTCAGGAAATCAAATGGCATAATCTTTTGCGATTTATCGCATTTTTACCGATTAGTTAAATGAAGAAAAAACCGACTTGTTTTGTTGATTTTGTATCTACTTACCGTTTCCTGTGGCATTGTATTACAGCTCCTTAATGGCAGCTTATATTTCAATGGACCATCTTCGTGCCTGTGCCAAACGATAATAAAAAAAAAGACGAATGAGTATCATCATTTGATGGCCAGTTGCCAACTTGACTTGTTAATGGATTACTGTTTACCTGTATTCCATCAGGCATGATGAATTCTTTGACAAGCCTTTTGGATAAATCATACCACTAAATAGACCATCATCGGGACTAGGCGGTGCATTTTTAATCGTAATAAACATTGACCCTGACAAGCATTTTATCCGTACGATTGGCTCTTGTTTTGCCTCCGTTGACAGTAGATCTGTAATAAAAACAACAACAAAAAAAAGAGAACGTTATAAAAATGTGAATGCATTGTTGAAAGATGATCGTGCATTTAAAAGCAAAGAAAAAAAAATACGAATGCAATTTGGATTGTAATTTGTGATCGAATTGTGTTATTGTTCTTTTGTTGTGGTAACATGTGCTGTGTGTTTCATCATTAGAGAGAGAGAGACGATATCGCTTTCGGTGTGTGTTTGTCAGAGCTCTCTACTTTGGATTACACACAGTAAATTCTAGTGAATTTCCAATGTGCACACAAACAGTTTGCATGTCAAAGAAGTCTCGGATGCGCACATGCGCACTTGCACACTTCGCGCAATCAACAGGAAATTCACAGTTAATTCTAACGACGTTGCATAAGTCTCTCTTTTCCCGTAGAGAGAAAAAAAGTCTCTATTTGATGGTTTTATTCTTTTGTTTGTTTCGATTCTTCTGCTGATTCGAGTTTAACAGTTATCATGTTTTCTCTATTTGTTTTTTTTTCTCCTCTTATTCGGTCTCATCGCCGTCAACATTGTCGATTGGCCTATGCCGTTTTTTTTTTCTCTAATTTCTTTCTTTCTTCATCAAATTGAAATTAGACAATTGTTACTCATGCTGAATTAATTTGAGAAAATCGTTAAATTTTATCTTATTCGTTCGTTATTATGAGTCGTTGCATTTTTGTTAAATAGTAGACAATAATTTGTGCTCGACCCAAGAGACAGAGAGATAAAATGAACAAAGCCAAGGCTAAATTTTTTCTCTTTCTTGCCACGGCCAGAAAGCTGACTGAAGAATGAAAACAATCAGTTCAAAAATGTTCTAAAGCAACGGCATATCCTCTCTTGTCGAAAGCGAGAGAGAGAGCATGTATACTTCGTGATCTTTGTCTGCATATCGTTGGTAAATATCTATAGTGTACGCGCACACACATAGCTTAGGTCGGCGTTGGATCGCTTTTTTTTCTTTATCCGTTTCAGTTGAATGTTTTTATTTTTCGTCATAGATTCAGGCAGACATGAGATTGTAGTGAGGGAGAGAGAAGGACAGAGATCATCTAGTCCGGAAGAGCATTTCTACTGATTGTAATAATAAGGCACGAATATGGACACACGAGGCATGTTCTTATTTTTCCAAAGATTTCTATTCTATAACGGCAGTGAGAATGAGTTTGTTCGAAATCCAAATTTAAAACAACGAACAGCAAGAAAAAAAAATTGAAACGAAAGAAGGCCTTCGTCGCAGAACATTAACCATACATAATCTGGCAAACACGAGAGAGTCGCTCGTGTAAAGATTTTAATTTATTACTATTATTTTGTGCACGATTTCTGTGCAAATGGATTTTCTGCAAAACAAAATACAACATTTAAATCGTTCATACAAAGATATGTGGTCGCGCACCGCACCAGGGTGACAATTTGCGCTAAAGTTAACCGTCTCATGTGCATGCATGTTTGTGCATATTGGTGCCTCGTGAATTCAAACGGTAAATAGCTTTGGCAGCGATTTAGGAAGCCATTTATCATTTTCAGTTTGCATTTTGGCCGATGTATTTATCAAACATTATTGCATTAAATTTGCTCTCGTCATCTCGTCCGTTCGTAAGTTCCATTCTATTCGTTAAGAACAATGTCCATACAATGTATCTGGTCGTTTTGATTTTATTTTATCACTGATGAACCTTCATTGCTTCGCCTTGTTTCTTCATTCGCTGTGTCTCGCTTCATTCATGGGCCTCCCAATGTATTTTGTCCACTCTACGATATTAAAGATGAACCCTGAATTGCCGAGGCGATTGATCATTTCTTTTGCTAGATTGGTTCTATTGAATTCATCCATCAATATCATCAACATTGATTGAATCGAAAAATAAAGGCCAAGATTTATTACTAATGCTCTATCGCATAAAACACAATACATCTCACAAACATACACTCTACTCGCTCTTGCTACTCGTCTCGGTTGTGGCTTTGTTCTCAAACTGCATTATTTCATTTTATTACATTACAGCATCGCAATTGATTCTCTCATGGAATGTTAAGTATTCCTCTTCTTCTTCTTCTTCTTCTTATTTTTTATTATTTTGATTGCGCGGCCGAAAGATAAATCAGAACCAAAGTAAAAGCAGCGAAAGAAGACAGAAAAAAAAGTTACCAGCGAAAATTGTTTGATCAAACTGCGGGTATATAAATAAACAATCCGAAAAAATGCGGAGTGTAAGCATTATTCTTTTGCAAGAGCTTGGACCTTTTTTTGTGTGTTTATTGAGATAGTGATAAAGTGTGAGAGAATGGGTATAAAGACGGAGAGAGAGTGAGAGAGTAAAAAATGGTGAAGATTGAAAACGGCAGAATAAGAGTAATGAAAAAAGCACGCGAACGAGTTCAAAGACCTTGTGCTTGACCGTTCTCATGTAAACACAACAACAATGAAAAAAAAATTATTTGTGTGATGTGTCTTTAGTGGAAGTCAAAACATACCACAAGTCGATCAAATGCAACAAAATACATACTATAAACATAGCACAACCACTCTGGCCGCTCGCTTTCATTCCCTCACCACACATCTCCTAATTTTACGAGAAAATGAACCTCATCGAAAGCTGGCCGCAACAAACAATGTAACTATATATTAAATTATTGTAAGTACTAGTGGTGTGCTGCTTTCGACCATCAACAAATAAAATATAAAATAGGAAAAAAGCGCGCACACAACGAAGACGACGACGACGAACGAATGCCAAATGCAAGACAAAGAACGAACAAACGAAAAAAAAAGAGAAAAAAGAAGATGAACAAGCAGCAGCAGCAGCATCAGTATAACATTCTGACGACTTCGCCATGGCCATGCCAATATGTAAGCGCGCGAGATAGGCACTCCACTGCAATGTCTACGATGATGAATTGTATGGCACTGAGATTGAGCAGCTTCTCACACAGCGTATATGGTACACATTTTATTCTTGATGCCACAGCATCAACAACAAAGCAATGAAGTGAAAAAAAAGACATAAATGAACGATCAAACGAGATATGCGAGAGTAAAAAAGACACACACACACACACATACAGATGGAATGAGCCGAACGAACAGAACGCGATGAATAAAATAAAAGGCGGTTACGGCTTTTATATGTAATATATTTAAAGCCGGACATAAAGTAATCAATTCGTTTTATAAGCAATAATACAAAGTCAGAACAACATACTATTCTCGTCGTCGTCGTCGCGGCAATACTACTCTCATCATGATCGATATGTGAAACCGTTTGAATTTGTAAGAGAGCTATGGACAGCGAGAGAGAGAGAGAGAGAGAGAGAGAGAGAGAGTCAGCCAATATCAAATTGCCCACTGTAATGGGATTTTAATTCAAAATTATTTGTATGCAGACGCATTTTCCATGGATCTCTTTGTATTTGTTTATTTGGCATATACACAGAATGGGATCGAATTGCATATACATCAAAGTGAAACGAGATAGATAGATTGAGATTGGCCTATGATCGGCTGGAGCGACCGACACCAATAAAGACAACAGCAAGAAATCACTAACAAAGTTACGAACAGCATAAAATAGTTTTGCTTTGGGTTTGAAATGAAAAAAAAAAAAAAAAAACAACAACCATCGCTGAAAACAAAACCCAGCATTATAATGCGATAGTGAAAAAAGCGCGACGAAAATGCGCGATTCGGTCTTGCAACAGATGTGCATGTGCCGCATAGTAAATCATTTGATTTATTCACGCAGAGCTATTTGCTTAAGATTTAGAACTACAAATGACTTTCGTTAATGCAAAGCGAATCTCGGATTTTGTGTGCACTTTTTTTTTGTCGAAAGAGTTGCAATTTCGTCCATCTCTTTTTCTCATTTACATACCCACTTTATTGTATTTTTGGTGTAGAATCGATTTGAAGATGGTGCATTTCACAACTAACCATTGGTGCATATTACAATCACCTTTTGTGCACAGCTTTTGTTCGAAAACAAAAGAAATGAAGTGAAGAAAGAAAATCTTCACCTCTCATCTTTACCACCACCGTCAATTTCTTTATGGTACAATAAGCATGTGGATAATTAAATCGTGTTAAAGTAACGAATGAAACACACAGAAAATGCTAAGCAATTTTGAAAAGTTTTTTATTTAATTCAAAGAAACAAATAAAATGGTGTTTGTGTTGGTCGAACCATAAAAATGGTTGAATTTCATTGTATTTGACTGTAGATTTTGCTTGAAAACCACCGAACCACCGGGATTAACTCTTGACCTTTTTTTCTGGTTTGATTGGCATGCAAACTGTTAGCTCATTATTGTGATTATAAATGAAATGCGATTCGATTGTATTTCGATCAAAATCGCATTCGTCGAAAAAAGTGGAAACTCATTTTTGGCAATCACTGTTTGCACACTGTGTTTGAAAGAAACACATAAATCTTAGCGCACACGTCCAGCACATCTAGTAATGTGATCGACAATCATCATTATTGTGAGATTAAACATTTGCATACAATGAATTTTAAAAACACCGCTCGCACGTACTGAAAATACAAAATTTTCATTTCAACCGACATTTTGACACGAAAAGGATTTTTTTGTACTTCGATTTCGTATTCGGGTTTTTTTGCACTCGTGCTGTGTGCTTTTTTTCTGCTGAGTCAATTGGCCATTTTAACGACTTGCAATCACTTGATGCTATTGCATAAGTTTGAACAGTAAAATGAGTTGGCATTTTCAACACACAGAAGTTCTAACTAGCAAAATCATACAAAAGAAAACGAAAGAAAAAGAGACAATATAAAATTGCAATGTTTTTGAAATAGCCTCTTTCTATCTCTCTCTCTTTGTGTCGCTATCTCGTTCACCCTCTTCTTTCTTCCGTTAGGCTGATTAGCCGGATGGATCTTTATTTTTGTTGAAAAAACGGCTGGATTTTCAGATTGTATACATATATTTGCGTCGTAAATTTCAATTTAGTAATTTAGAAAAGATTATGGCAAAAAGGCCATTTCACAACAATGTATTGAATGATGACCAATCATTAAAATGTGCGATAAAACTGAAACTTGTCCTCATCCATATATGATTACCAGATACTTATTTCGAATATTCTATTGTATATGTTCTGCGCTTCTTTGTACAAGAGAGTTCTTTTTCACTCATTCTATCTCACTCGCTATCGTTCTCCATCATTTCTCTATCTTTTTATCTCTTTTGCCTTTATATTCGGATGTGAAATGTTGTTGGTCAAACAAAAAAAAATATTTATGATCGTGAGATGTGTACATTCGATTGGAAACATATCATTGCACATTAAGCAAACACATCACAACCGTAATAATCGTATTATGGTTAGATGTATAACGGTACCAAACACCGATTGAAATAGATATATCGTAGTTTTTTTGGCGATGGGACATACACGAACGCTAATATATTCATAAGAGCATGTAATTAATGCAGATACCAACTCCTCGTTATAAATTCATAGAGATTTCATCAGAATGACACACAGCATCTCTCGATGAAGAAATAAAAGCCACCAACAACAACACCAACATCGATATTATTCCATCGAATGTCGTGGCATTCTTTATGTAAATGCGAATACGAAGTATAACTGACCAACAACAAAAACCCTCACATACTCACATATGAACCAAACATTGGTTCTTTATGTTACGTCAATCAACGTCGAAAAATTGAATAAATCATTGTTGTGTGCAATCTTTTGTTGTGACCTTATTGCAATGCGATGAACGCCAACCAAGTCAAGTCAATTCAAAATCGAACTTCAACCGAAAAAGAGAAAGAAACCAAGTGAAAGATCATCAACAATATATTATAATTAATTGGTCGACACATTGTTTGCTCAATAAAAAGTATGTGATGTTATTCTGAGAACGTGGTCATGATTTGTGTACATAAATTCCCGGAAATATTGTTGGAGCTATAAATATGATAATCATGCGAAATAAATGTGTGTTCACATCGAGCATACGCCCAATTCTTGACTCAGTTCCATAATATTTTGTTTGATTTAATCCATGAAAACCGACGGGCTCACCAGCGCCACATTGACCGATCGTCCAGCTACCGTGTACACTCGGTATTCGCACATTCTCACACGTACCAATCAACAACATGAGCATTTTTGATATATACTCGATCTTCGTGTGCCGTGTGCTCTTTTTGTCGAAGGCAACAATTAATTTTGCGTAAAAATACACACAAACCCACACTCACACGCCTCGAACGTGGAGACAAATCGCTATCGCTTATTAGAACTGTAAAATAATAATTAATGAAAAAAAAAGAAAAAGAAAATCCAACTGTACTTACGTGAATGATTTGGAATTTGTGCTGACTGCGCTATTTTCATGATTGCCTGCAAAATAAGACGAAACGAAAAAATGTAAATAAATTGAAAGAAAAAAAAAACGCACTCCCAATTAATATGTATATGTGTGAGAATTGGAGTTGAAAATGGAGTGTGTGTCGGGAAGAAGAACAAAAAAAATGTATATATGAAATGGCAACGGTGTATGTTCTGATGTCGAAAACCTCTTGCGAAATTCCAATTAGCCGTGAAAATGGTGTAAAGTGTTCGCCTTTTTTTTAGTGTGATGCGATACGCGTTCACACACATTGGCCATTGGAAAAGCTACACGGTCGAGTGAAATGCACGCATTTCTTTTTTTTAATCCGCGCGTATTACGTATTCTAAGTGCAGAGTAACAAATACCATCACGATATACTGGGATCTCTTCCCGTCTCTGATTCTCTTCACAGGCTTAATGAAATAATATAAATAAATTTGAACGGAAAACGGCGACACACAATGATACACATTACACACAGAGAGAAAACGATCGAAAGAAAAAGAGACAGAGAGAGAGAGAGAGACAGAGAGAAGGAATGGCTACTAATGAATTCAACAATACATCAAATAACTGTTTTTTATGCCGCACTTCAGATTACATTCAACCGCACACATTGGCATATAATATGTTAAATGTGTATATCCATCCCATTTGAGACATAAATATTTAATCGAACCATTTAGAAAATGTGAACAGTTGTTTTGCCGGTTGCAATGCGAAGCGGTCTCTCGTCGATGAGACATAGCCAGTAGTCACATAAAATCAGAAAGAGAATGAAGAGAGAGAATTAGATCCAAAGTATCGCACATGAATCACACGAATAATATGTGTGTGTGTTGTTGCAATTGAATGATGTGTTTCAGCAGCAATAGTTGAGCCGAGAGCTTCTGCTGTTTGCATACCGCATAATTGACGATTATACAATACATATTACGTACAAAATACGACATATAGTCGATCGTTTGAATCGATATTTATCGGTGAGCGCACAAATGGCATCGTTGCCGATGAAAAATTCACTTCACATGCACACCAAAAATAAACATATTGAAATTCAAACACAAAATATTTTAACTTGTCGGATGTACATTGCACATCCATGGCTCGGGCGTTCTCGATTTGCAAGGGCCATCAAATGAATTTCAGTCCAAGAACATGGACACAAAGAACGTTCAGTAAAATGGACGAGCGCAAATCGTATTTTTTACATAACATCAAATAATTCTGCAAACTAAACGTAAAGTTCCACAGTGAAAACACAGATTTCAGCATTAGAATCTCAGTTGCAATGATGCGCTTTTGAATCGTTGTACGTCGTCGCGATTTGAGAACAAGTTAGTTCCCTGTTGCGCACTAGGTTCTTTTCTCTCATTGTTCCTCTCTCTCTCTCCATCTATCGTTGTGTTTCTTTCTCTTTCGAGTCTCAGTGAAATGAATCTTTCGTTGTGTTATTTTTTCGCTGGTTTTTGTCGTTCGCTTGCAAAAGATATGCTCTGGTATTTTCACATTGATGCTTGTGAACTTGGAATAGATCATGACATGCAGCAAAGCGTTTTCTTGCCGCGAAATACACGCCCGATCATTGAATCGATCGATATCAGCATAAATTTGAATTTTTTTTCTTGATCGAAAATCCATTCGATCCGATCGATCGAATGCTCATGGAAAAAGAAACGAAAAACCATCTTAGATGTGCATCATAGTCTGCGTCTGCGACTGTGTTCTGCACATTTTTCTAATTCTCACTTCGGAAAACAGAAAATGAAAAAAAAACACACCAACGTTCTCATACGAACAACATACTAGCCATGTGTGCTCATGTATATTTCATTGGATGATTTTTCAGTCGATCGGCATTTTGTAGCATGCGAAAATTATACTCAATTTACGCGGCAATTATATTATTTTTTGTGTGGTTTTTCGCTCCACGTTCTCTTTCTCTCTTCGCCCCTTTTTCTCTTTGTATTCACTTAAAAGCAATTGGATGACATATTTGAAATGTGTTTGGTATATTACATCAGTGATTAATGCAACACAGGGGGACAGTCCATCAAAAATGGTGTTCGCAACACAAACGAAGAGAGAGAGAGGTCTGGCATTTACAACAAAAATAAGCTCAAGCCACCTTATTATGGATAAATTAATTGTGACCAAAAATGTACACCGACGATTACGAGTGCCAATCACTGATTTTATATGTTTGTATGTTTGTTAATGCTTGTGCACTTGACTGTATGCAAACTGTTCGCACTTTATACTCAAAAAAATGGTTATTTGTCTTGGGCTCGTGTGGTGTTGATCGAAAGATAGCCAACACCGCCAAAATCAAATGAAGATTAATGTGAGTATTCGGCTGTGTTTTTTTTTTTTTTTCAATGGAAAATGTACAAAAATGATTACGAAATTGTGACGTACCGTGGAAAATCGAGCGAAAACCCATTGAGTTCAAGCCAACTGTTTTCATCAACATAATGGGGCTAATTAAATGTCAGCAGTTGTTAAATTTATGATAGTTTTATTACAATTAATCGCATCATACACGGTGGGTACTTGTTTGTGTATATGTGTTAGTTGAGTCAATCAAAATTGTAAATTCAACAGTTTAAAGCATTAAAATGGTGGCAATTTTCCAATGCAAAAACCAAACAAAATATAAACGATTGCACGTCCGTCCGTGACAAATTACCCGCTGCGTTTCGCTTTTTGTCTCATTCACTCTTATCGCGGGCGCACACGGCTGGATTTTCAACATCAGAAACACTTTACGAGTGAAAAATTAAATTAAAAAAAAAATATGGTAAAAAAATGCGCAAACTTACATGTAAATGAAGAAAAGCGAACACTACTGCATTGAACGCCATTGTATCTGCAAAAGAAAGGAGAAAAAGAATGACTTAATGCTGTGATTTAGGGTAAAAAATTTTGTTTTCCGAAATAAATTTAATTAAAACATTTTCACACTTTTTCTTCGTTTCGGCGCGCTGTTGCGAGTCGAATCGCACGAAAAGTGCTTTCAACCAAACGCGTAATGTTCCAAAAGAGATCAAATGATCAAGTGCAACTGTGACTTCGAACGGGAGAGTATAGTGTGTACACGTGTGTGTGTATGAGAGAAATAAAATCACCAAAATAATAATTAAATCGGTTTATTTTCTTCTGTCTCATCACCAATTTAATGTCTGCTCATCGTTTTAAAGTTGAAAACTTTTGCGTTTCCGATGCCATTCTTGTGACCGGACCACAATCGAATGTGAATGAGCGAGAGTTCGAATGGGCCAAGCTAGCGTACAAGCGAAAAAGAAGAGTGAAAGAAAAATAACCATGGCACGAGATTATGAACGAGTTCATGTGTGTGTGTGTGTGTGTGTGTGGCAGAGTGCCAAAGCGTAAAGTCACTATCAACACACAACAAACAAACGAATGAAAAGAAGAGAAAAAAACACGCCGTGAAAAATAACGACACAAAACAAATGAAATAAAAATATAGTAAGATTAAATAATAAATGCAGACTAAAGACTTTGCTGTGTGTGTGTGTGTGTGTGTGTGTGTGTGTGTGTATGTGTTTTTGTATTGAAGAAGAAAAAAGCAACAAAAATTGTTGAAGAGGTTGTGAGGTGTAATGGTTGAGCATCACTTAGGTTATTTCTTTTTGTGTCCATTGTTTGGCACGAAAGTTTACTTAAGCGTTAACTGCTTGCGCTAGCATTTTAAAGTGGACGATGACAACGAGTAAAGTAAAAAAAATAGAGTCAATAATAAATTCACACGCGTCTCCAAAATAGCGAACCCATTTGTGGTCGGCACACACAATGGTCAAGAAAATGAATGGGCCCGCCGTTAACAATTGGCAAACTCTGCTTTTTTTAAATTTATATTGTCTTTTTCCACTGGACATACGTCCAGCCTTGTAACATATAAATTACAATTTCCCATTTCATTTATGGTGAGTTGCTGTTTTCGGGGCGGTTTAAAAATAAATTCCACGAAATTATTATTTAACAAGTGAAATGAATATTCGGTCTTTTGCAACTCATTGCAAAAACCAATTTTTAAAATCTGACCGCAGAAGCGCGAAGAAATCAACACACACTGTGAAATGGAAAATAAAAACGAACAAATGTCACTTTATGGAATGCGACTGCAATAATAATATTTAAATTCACACATTTTCTCAATGTTTTCTCAATGGATCGTGTGTGTTTGTGTCCATGAATCGCATATCAAAAGGTTAAGGTTTAAACGATGCACTGCACTCTGCATTCAAAAACGAAACGAAACAATAGCTATAATAAATGTCTGTGCAGTAATTAAGGTGAAATGGTTCTGACAATAACAGAGGAAAAAATGCCGCAAAAATGAATGCATTCATTTTGCGAGCACGAAAATAATGCCATGAGTTGAGAAGCGGTGTCTGCAATTCAAATGTTGATGGTTATGTATGGAATAACTCTTTAGATAATCAGGTATTGTTGCACATTTGGCCATTACTTAAGTGAACCGAGATGAAAGAAGTAGCATTCACCCACCGATCACACCGTACATCAACATCAAGCAACAGTATTATCACCATAATCATCTTCAGAGCATTGTAACCCGAACAAATTCTGCCAATTTTTCTTTCTTTCATGATTATCGCCATGTTTTTTTTCGCTACATAGACCCGTTTTTTATTACATTTCATTTTGTTCGTTATTTTCTTTTCCTTCGATTTATATTCAAGCACAGTTTTCGGCAGCAATGACGGCCGCGGCGGTGGTGGCGGAGGCAGAGCAAATGAACATTTTGGGAAAGATATTGAATAACGGCAGCGAGATAATTTAGAGAGAAAAAGAAAGTTATTTCATCTTGTGTGTGTGTGTGTGTGTGTGTGTGTGTGTCGAAAAATCACAAAACCATTTATTTATCATATTCGTTTCACTTGTGCATTGTACAATGTGAAAATAGCAAATAGATTTTTGCTATTTGATTATTATTTTGCTATTTATGTTAAAATTCCCGCGAAATATATATACGAATGTTCGAATTGGCAATGAAATAGCGAAGATCGTTTACACACATTATATATCATTCGAAAATATTAACTTGATGTGGTACATCTCTTTCACACACAACCTCAATATTTAATGAATATTTCATAACGAGTGAGATGCAAACGAGAGACGAAAAAAAAGGTTAACAGAATAAATACGGTGGATGCGTGATTGGAAATTCGATTGATTCGTTTTTAACTTCTCGTGTGGTATCCCTCTCTCTCTCTCTCTCTCTCTCTCTCTCCATTTCTTTCTTTCTCTTTCTCCATCTCAATCAATTTCTATCTCCCCATCAAGATTTCAATGGTCCATTTTGGTCAGGTGAATTTTGTTCGTTGATCAAATCGCCAAATTAGAAATGTAAATGACGTAAAAAACGAATGATGCAAAACACGAACGACGATACAGGTTCCATGTTGTTGTTCATTACTGACACTCAATACGATGCATACCCATCTTGATAAATGGTCACAAATCATCGAGGATTGATTGAAGCTTGGTGATCGCGAAAGCGTAAACACAACAGAGATGTGCAATCGAATTAATGGGACTCATGAAATGAGACGATTGCGATTAAGAGTGAAGAGGCGGCCAGGTAGATGGTAAAAAAAGTGTTGAAAGTGCTTTTAAAATCAATTATGCAAATTATTTAGAATCATGACGGCCAAAGAATTTGCTATATACAAATCGCATCGATTCCATTTTGTTGCTTAATGTGATAAACCTCAACCGAAGCGTGCGCTTTACTCAATTCAACAATCAAGTGAGATGAGGTAAAATTATGATTACGACATCGAGACATTTCGAAGCAAAACCAGCACCGTAGAAGATGTGAACGACAGAGATAAAAAGCAACCAATCCACAGAAAATCTTTCATATATGTGTTGACCTTCAGCAGCATAAATTTTATGCTTCGTTTTCTCTCTCTTTCTCTTTACTTCTTCTCGGCCAGATTTAGTTTACGCATTATCGTTGTGTGTATACCACTTTAAAAAGAGAAGAGAAAATCAACAACTCGATATTATTACGTTGGCTTTTCCATTGATCTCATCGTGTGTGACTCGCACTATATTCTGGTATTTCTGTGAGATCATGCAATAAATGTGCAAAGTAAGGCGATGGTAAAAAAAACCTAATAATAGTGAAGCAAAAACACTTAGAGTTCGAAACATATGTTTAAAGTTGATTTCTTGTTTTGCTCTTGTCGCTTCATTTCGTGCATAATGTGCCGCATAAATAGTCACACCATCTCAAACCAAAATGAATCAAACGAAATAAGCACAGTGTATCGAGTTTACATCATCATCGATCCAGTTCTAATGTGCGCTCGAAATAACAGCTCATCAACAAATGGTGAATTTTGAAACGTTATCTCTCTCTCTCTTTCTCTTTATATGTGTTTTTCTCTCTGGTTAAAAGAGTCAACTTCTTCGTATCAACGTAAATTGTATTGTGAACCAGTATTGTTGTATGGAAGACTCAAGTCTCACGCACTCAAATCTCTTAAGTCTCTCTCTCTTTTGATGTCTCTTGTATTTCTGTGATTTCAATTAGAATTGACTGACTGATTGTGGTTCGTTTACATCTTCAACGCACTGAAATAAAAGATACTGGAATGGAATTCTGTCATTTGGTAAACGCCATCATGCCCAAACACGCACATACATTTCATTGATATTTCGCATTCGCTCAACTTAAAAAAAGTAGCGTGAGTGAGAGTGAGAGAGAGAGAATAAAAATAATACATTCATTCGGCATTCAGCACATGGAGTTTTGTGTAATTTGTGTGCTTTAATTGTGATATAATAGCAAATCATTTGGATGGGTTTCAACTCATTTCAATATCTTCGAGGTTAGTCAAGCAAATGAATGAAAATTAATATATCTCGCGTAAATCGAGTCAATGCAAGATGGATTCGCTCACAAATCAGCAGCCACAGCAACAGCAACAAATGTTGGTACTCTCTGTCTGTCTGTCTGTGTCTAGATTGGATTATTGTCTATGGTACATAATTCGCAATGGGTTTTCAATCGGAGTTGAAAAAAAAAGCATTTGTTAAGTGGTACGTTGATCAGACGCAGACACTTAATGATATTCATTTGTAGCGAACAATGACGTGTGCAATTTTCGTTCATTTAACGCTGTGCGTTGTTTCTGTTTCATTGTGGCATGGTTTTTTTCGCTGTGCGCAAGATATGATCAGCTTCGATTTATGATTTTGTTTTTTTTTGCCATCGACTTGAACCCATTAAATTTATTCATTTGTTTAATCTATATTCCAATTGAAAAACATAATCGAATCGAAATTGATCTTCGTTATATGGTGGTGTGCGCCTCGTTTATTTGTTTTTTTTTCTCCAATGTCTGTCAAACGATTGAACAACAGAAGAAAAAAAAACGGTAGGAAATCAACGAACGAATTGAAAGTAAATCAAATACAATTTAACATTTTTTCGGCGTGTATATGACACATGCTATAAAAAAAAGATGTTGATTTATTCAAGCAATCGACCCAACATCAACAATGCCAATTCGTTCTATCGAATGCTTCGTTTTAATTTCGTTTGAGTGGGTTTATTCGCATATATTGAAGATTTGCAAAAAGTGAAACAAAATTACAATAATAATAAATGGCGTTAACGAAAACAGACATTTTAAGTAAGTAAACCATCGGGCTGGTAAAAAATCACAACAACAACGAATCGCCAAAAGAATGAGATGAAGGGAGAGAGGGATGGAGAAAGAGAGACAGAAAAGCAATGCGCACACCGTTTGTCCAAAACCAGAACAAAGTAGGACATTTCCATATTTAATATCATGGACCTTGCGACTT